GTGCAATGCATTTAAGTAAAGAGGTATCTTGTTCCTTGTTTTTTTATCTGACATGATAGTTCTGCACAGCCAAAGGACGGCTTTGTTCCCTCCTGAGGTGATGATGGCTTCGCTCCCTCGTGCAGTTCCTGTCGGTATCATACAGCCAAAGGATGGCTTCGCTCCCTCCCAAGGTGATAACGGCTTCGTTCCCTTATATGACACAAAAATGTCTAATTGTTACTGTTTATTGTGGTTTTTGAAGAAGCCATCATCATCTGTAGATAGGCTTGCTAATTATACTTATGTAATGAATTCTTGTCTACGAATGACCAATTCTGGAGCCAAAATCCCAGAAAACAAAATCTCGACAAAAATTGACCGAAACTACGGTTAATGCAAGCTAACTTGCTGGGATTATAACGTTGTTGGGGTTTTGTTTGTCAGAATTTTGACTCAAATTCATCACTACAGATAGGGTTGTTAATGGAGTAGCTTACTCCGGAGTAGAACCCAACCCAAATTGGAGTGGGTTTAAAATTATACCTTTAAATTTGGAGCAACCCGGAGCAAAACATTGGAGTAGGTCTAATTTAGTGGAGTGGGTTGAAGACTGGGTCAACCAAACCAACCCAACTACAGATATGGAATAAGAGTAATGTTGTATAATTTACTATGCTGTGAATTTTTTAATTCAGTTAGAACTTTTTTATCTTCATAGTTGATTTATAGCTTTTTGTACAATATATAATATTTTGAACAAAAAGTTATAAGATCATATGAATATAAACGAATAGAATGAATAATAATACAATTTTCACTTTAGCGTTGTTAATTAATTTACTATTTACTATTTATCGATTTATTTATATTACATAAGCTGCCTTATGCATAGAAAGTTTCCGTGAAGAAAACAATCGTTTAAGTGAAGAAAAGAACGAACGTTGCAATAAAATCAATCGGTTGCGTACTTTAAATGGTGAAAGGGAAACACTTATTAGCGAAGTGAATAGATTAAACGATGAAAGGAAAAATTTTACTAATGAAATGAATAGTTTAGATGATGAAAGGAATATATTAGACGGTAAAAAGAATATGCTTATTAATGAAGTGAATAAGTTGGATGGTGAACTGGAAATACTTGTTAATGAATTATATAGATTAAATGTTCTTGTTAACGAAGCTATTTACAATTTAGCGAATTAAAACCTTAAGCTAGTTATTTCTCCTGTATATATGCATGAGCATTTATGCACCCCATGCAATAGACAAAGTATGTACAAAATATATGTTACACGAAAAAGAAATGCTAATAACTTAAAATTTATTATGACAAATTGATTTAAAGTATTAAATAAACTAATTTTACATATAACTAGTAAAACGGTGGCGTTTCATAGGACTGGAGACTTAGGTACCAGGATCTGAATTTAAAAAGAAAATCGTTAAAGTTAGTATGCAACTTTATCTTACCATCAAAGCAAATTTATAACGCGTAAAATTAATCCGTTACTATATAAATATTTGAATGCGTATATATTTCATATGTTTACATTTACACAAACAGTTTACGTATAATTCATAATAATAATGTCTGCTTTCAGTTAATCTTGTTATATACGTAATATAAAGAAAGTACACCTGAAAAGACCTAAGAACCGGTTGCAAATTTTAAAACCGAATTGATTTCACATGACTTGACAACCGGTTGCTATCTTCCCAGCGGCAAAAAACATTCATTTTTGATACTTCTGCCCTAAATTTTATATACTGTACTTTATTAAAAAATTTACCCACGTGATGATCGACACAGCAAATAACAATTTTATATAACACAATCTAAAAAAAAATCAAAAATTGCCTATTTTCCAAAAATCTGTACCTTATGCAAAATATAACTACTAACCTTAATTTAACTAACTTCAATTATGCTAAAAAGTTTTTTTAAAAAAAAAAATTTAACAAATGACAATTTTTTATAACAACTATTATACGAATGATTTTTTTATACAAAATTATTACATTAATGTTTTATTTAAAACATTTATATATGGATGAAGGTTTTTTGAAAACTTTATTTATATTATCCTTTAAAAAAAGAATTAATGAATTTGTAATTAGGGATTGGAACCACCTAAAATTTTTCTTAATCATTTAACCATTTAACCGTTTAATTTGGCCGGCATTAAGATAATTCCAGCCCACGACCAACATAATTCTGCCCGGAATTATGGTGCAATTTTTAAACGATTAAATGGTTCCAATCCCTATTTGTAACTATAGGTTACTGTAACTGTAACTAAGATCAGGTGTAATGTAACTATCAAACCAATTTTTTCTTAAAAAAATAAAACTTCACAATTAAAGTTAAAGTTAGAATAAAGCTTGAGTTAAGAAACACAAAGAATATCAAAATTTAGCAAATTTTTTTTTATTAAAACTTAAAGGATAGTTTTATAGTCAAAATTTTGAGTTATTAATAATTTTTTTAAAAAATAAGTTTTTGTTTTGATTTTATATTGTATCTTATTTTATTTATGATTATAGTAATCATAGTTACAAATTTATTAATTTTAAAAAAATATCATATGTAAAATAGATTTATTTGTTTTTTTTTGGTATTCAGGTGGGATCTTGCCCATAACTTTATTTATTTTAATATTTTTATTACATGTATTGCTATATTTTGTATTATATATATCAAGTACACTAAGCTCAAATTTGAATTCTATTAGTAACCTACACTCTGGCTGAGACCATTACTTGCATAATAGGTGTCCTCATTCACTATCTGGCTATTAATCTAATTATCTGTAATCTACTGTAAATTTACTAAAGCAGTACATCCTTATAGATAATACTTATCTAGTATTTTTCTACTTTCACAAGTCCTATTTTTATACACTTCTCTATAATATTATTTTTTGTATCTCTTATACTATTTATATCTAAGCTTTTAAATTTAATAGTCTCTTTTGA